AGAGACACAGCGAGAGAGGGAACACAAGCAGGGGGAGTGGGAGAGGGAGAAGGAGGCTTCCCGTGGAGCAGGGAGCCCGATGTGGGGCTTGATCCCAGGACCCTGGGACCATGACCCGAGCCAAAGGTAGATGCTTAACCGACTGAGTCACCACCCAGGCATCCCCCACCAGCTGTTTTTATAAATAATATTTCATTAGAACACAGCCATGCTTGTTAGTTACCTATCATCTGCAGCCGCATTTGCCCTAGGACAGCAGAATTGAATAGTTGCAAAAGAGACAGTATTGCCCCCCAAAGCCTAAAATATTAACTATATGGCCCTTTACAGAAAAGGTTTGTCAACTCCTAGTCTCAAGCTATCAACTTGTTTAATTATTATGGCATAAACATAGTAAACCACCACAAAACTGACTAAACTGTTGGTAGTAGGTAATAGCTTTTTAAAATTATGAATGTAACAGATGATTACATGCTCTTTGTAAAATGACGAATCCAAAAGTTAAAAACAGAGCTACCCTATGACCCAGCAATTGCACTACTAGGTATTTACCCACAGGATACAAAAATACGGATTTGAAGAGACCCATGCACCCCAATGTTTGTTCATAGCAGCACTATCAACAATAGCCAAATTATGGAAAGAGCCCAAATGTCCCTCGACTGATGAATGGATAAAGAAGATGTGATGTGTATATATATACAATGGAATATTACTCAGCCATCAAAAAGAATGAAATCTTGCCATTTGCAATGATGTAGATGGAGCTAGAGTATATTAGGCTAAGCGAAATAAGTCAGTCAGAGAAAGACAAATACCATATGATTTCACTCATGTGGAGTTTCAGAAACAAAACAGATGCACGTAGGGAGGGAAAAAAGAGAGGGAGGCAAACCAGGAAACAGACTCTTAACTATAGAGAACAAACTGAGGGTTGCTGGAGGGAAGGTGGGGGGCGATGGGGTAACTGGGTGATGGGCATTAAGAAGGGCACGTGTGATGTAATGAGCACTGGGTGTTGTATTGCAACTGATGAATCACTAAATTCCACTCCTAAAACTAATATTACACTATACATTAACTAGCTAGAATTTAAATAAAAACTCAAAACAATAAATAAAAGTAAAATGATAAATCAGCATAGATAAAGCTAAATTCTCCTTAAGCCTTCCTGCTAATGCCAATCCCGTTTCCCTAAAAGTAACTGCTATAACCAGTTTGGTGTATTTATTGCCAGTCTCCTTTGCATTCACATATACATATATGTCATACTAGTAAACTATTTGTTGTCATATTATTCTCATTCTGGTTTTCCACCCAACAAACTTTTCATATCCATATTCCATATAGAGACTTTCTATCTCCATATATAGCTCTACCTCAATAATTTTATATATATTATACATAGGATATGTGCATTTTATTTTTTCCAGAGGTTTATATTTATTTGGGGGGGCGAGGGGCCGAGGGAGAGGGAGAGAATCTTAAGCAGGCTCCAGGCCCAGCACGCAGCCCGACGTCAGGCTCCATCCCACGACCCTGAGATCATGGCCTGAGCTGAAATTTAGAGTCAGAAGCTTAACTGACTGAGCCCCACAGGGGCCCCAGAATATGTGCATTTTATTTTTATTTTTTATTTATTTTTTTTAAAGATTTTATTTCTTTATTTGACAGAGAGAGAGACACAGTGAGAAAGGGAACACAAGCAGGGGGAATGGGAGAGGGAGAAGCAGGCTTCCCGCGGAGCAGGGAGCCCGATGTGGGGCTCGATCCCAGGACCCTGGG